AGGTGGGTCTCTATTCTCTTTCTTAAACTTGGAGCTATTCACATACCTCATAACATTTCCTGTGAGCTCACCTTAATCCCCTTGAACTGCTAACTGCCTTGGCTAGTAATGTCTACCTTGGGGTAATAGTGAAAAGCTTAGACCTTAGTTTGGACACCTCCTGATATCCTTGGAGGCCAAAGGGTTGAGCCTCAGGGAGGAAGTTTTAAATTCTAGTCCTAACCCCATTCTCCCTCCTCCCAGGGGCTTTGCACCGTACGGCTTTTTCCAGTTAAAACCAGTTGCTGTCAAGTCAACTCTGACTCATGGAAACCCTTTGTATATCAGAGCTGTGCTTTTACGGTTTTCAAGGGCTGATTTTTCAGAAGTAAATCAGGCCTTTCTCTCAAGGCATCTTTGGATGGACTTGAATCACTGACCTATTGGTTAGCACCCAAGCATGTTAATCATTCATACCACCCAATCCCATTGCCATTGAGTCAATTCTAACTCATGGCAACCAAATGTGTTACAGAGTAGAACTGTGATCCATAGAGTTTTCTTGATTGTAATCTTTACAGAAGCAGATTGCCAGGACTTTCTTCATGGTGCCAGTGGGTGGGTTTGAATTGCCAACTTTTGATTAGTAGCTGAGCACAAACCAGGGACCTTTGCACCACACAAGGAGTCCAGTTTCCAGTTTCCTCTTTTGTAACAGGTTGGGGAGAAGCAGGTTCATGCTGCATTGATATTTATTTTAAAAGACTCATTCTGCCAGCTGGGCCTCAGCACTGCCTGGTTTCCCTACTGCTTCATGCTGGCTTTGCTACTTTCCTGCTGTACAGCAACACAGCATTGATCCAGGGACCTGGGTTTATAGGTAAAAGTACCTAAAATTCACAGGTGCAATGTGACTTTGCCTCTTCAGGCCCCGTAGAGCTCTTGCTCACCTCCCCCCAACCCCCACCATCATCTTTCTCTCCCAGGACCCAACCACCTTCTCTGTCTGCAGAAGTGTCTTGAGTTTTTGTGTCAGTTGCTGCTTAAGGTTGTGTGAGCCTCACTGCTCTATTTCCTCTTGTGTCTCTAGCACTGGGTTCAAGGTGCATCTGTGCCAATTTGCCTCAGACGAGAAGCATTTCTTATCACATACTTTGCCAGCTTTATCACCATCTTGACAGTGAAGTATGTACATTATTCCACCATCAGGGCAATGGACCACTTGAAAAACTTTCACTTTCTTTGTTTTAAATAAAAAATTTTCATCTAGAATGTGAATTTCACATTTTCATAGGAAACCAGTAGGTTGCAATGGTTAACAATGAAGACTTTGGAATTGAACTGGGTGCAGATTCAGGCTTTTAACAGCTGCTTACCCTTGGACAAGTTAACTTCTCTGAATCTCAGTTTCCACATATGGAAAGGGATAGAAACTAGTATTTACCTCACAATGTGGTGGTTGTTGCTGTTATTTTCAGCCATCAAGTCTGCTCCAATTCATAGTGACCCATGCACTGTTGTTGTTGTTGTTGTTGTTATGTGCCGTCGAGTCAGCCCTGACTCATAATGACCCCTCCTTGGGTTTCCGAGGCAGTATCACTATAGAAGTAGGATTGCCCAACCTTACCTCCGAGGAGTGGCTGGTGGGTTTGAACCGCCAGCCTTCTGGTTAGCAGTCAAGTGCCTTAGGCACTATGCTACCAGAGCTCCTTGACCCATGCACTACAGAACAAAATGTTTCTGGTCCAGCACCATCTTTGTGATTATTGGTTTGCTGAAGTCCATTGTTGCAGCCACTATGTATTTTGAGTGCCTTCCAACTTACAAGGCTTATCTTCTATCTTCCACCACTATATCAGACAGTATTCTGTTCTGATCCATAGGGTTTTAACTGGCTAATTTTCAGAAGTAGATAACGCCCATCCATCTGTCAGTCTGTCATACTGTTGTGGCTTGCATGTTGCTATAATACTGCAAGTTCTACCACCAGTATTTCAAATTTGAGCAATGTCACACATAGTGGACAGGCTTCAGCAGAGCCTCCAGACTAAGACAAACTAGGGAAAAAGCCCTGTCTGTCTATTTCCAAGAATTAGCCACTGAAAACCCTCACAGGGTAGTAATAAGGGTTAAATGACATAATGTACATGAAGCAATTAGTACCATATCATTATGGTGGTTACTACTACTGTGTAAATAAGAGGCTAGAACAAGGAGAGGGCACTGACTGCTGTTACTAGCAGACACTAGTCTTACTACGTCTCTCCTTCTGGTACATGGTAGTAGGGGCACAGCTCCAATGTTAGCATGTAACCCAGAAAGGAGAAAGTCCTCAACGGCCATGTGATGGTGTGAGGGATAGAAGTGGAATGAGGACATTGGTGATGCCCTATTGTGCCATCCTCTACCACATAGAGTGATTCTCAAGTTAGGAGTGGAGAGACAACTCTTTGAAGAGTGTCTTAGCCTGGGTTCTCTAGAGAATCAAAACCAGTTAAGTGTACTGCAAACAGCGTGTGATAATGGCATCCTCTGACCTCATCTAACTTCACATGGGAGAAGGAGGATCAAGATGAACATCAACAGCCTAAGGCTGGTTCCCATCAGGCAGAGGTCAGATATGCCACCACCCACTAACCTCTTACCAATTCTGACACCAACCATCTCTCCTATGGCTTTCTTTACTTCTCTGTTGGGTTCGATAATTCATTGCAATGGTCACACAGAACTCACAGACGTAACTCACAATCATGGGGTTTATTAGGGAAGTAACAGGTTACAATTCAGGTTCAGGAATACTCATGATACAATTCTTCCATCAGGACAACTTCTTCTCAGCGATGCTACAGGCACACTTCTCTCTGGTCTCAGCCTCTGCTCTACTTGGACAAGTGTTACAGAGGTCTCTTTTAGCTCTGACAATAGGGACCCAAAGAGGCACCCTACTCCACCAGCAAGCCTCCTCCCTGAAGGCACTCAATTTCTCACTCCACGGCCCGGGAAGCCCATCACTCTGTCTTCTGCTGGTCCCTTGGTTTTGCTGCCTCTGCTGTCCCCAACTCTTTGCCATCTCTCTGCCAAGTGTTGCCACTCTCTCTCTGTCTCTGTCAAGGAGGTCTAGTGCATGGATCTCAGGTCCAAGAACATGCTTCACTCCTGGTTCTTCTATCTTGATGCTAGTGAGATCCCCCTTTCTGCCTCTGGGAAGACTCATTTTAAGCCTAGCAAGATGGCAAAACTGACCAATCCCCACATCAGAGTTCATACATCTTATTTTCATGGCTCCATCCCAGAAGGGTGCGATGCACCTTATTTACATTATTAGCAAGCTATCCAATCCCCTTGGTGGGCCACAAGTACTTCACGTTGGCATAGTCCCACCCATTTATCCAGTGGTAGCCACAAAGACCATGGCTAGAAGCGCTATATTAAGTAATTCACTGCACCACACACATATATAAATATAGAGAGACAGATTTATTTCAAAGAAATGGCTCACACAGTTGAGGAGACTGATAAGTCTAAATGCATGCATCAGATAGCAGGCTGCAAAGACTTCTTATGTCCCAAAAACCAGAGGTCAGAGGATGATGAAACAAATGCAGAATGGCAAGAAAGCTCAAATTTTGTCAGAACATCTATATATATATTGGATTTAGGCCACACCTCCAAGAAAATTCTCTTTCAACTGATTGCCCACATCAGATCACAAAAGGTCTGCCAAACCACTGAGAATCATAGCCTAGCCAAGTTGACACATAACATTAACCATGCATTGGGACATCCTTTGAACTTTATAAGTGATTATCTTGGGGTCTCTCTCCCATGGCTTGTACAGCATGGAAGTGCCATGTCCTTTCACCCAAAGCTGTCTCTTTCACTCTCGATCCACCACTTAGATTGAAGGAGGCAGAGAGAAGCCAACTCTGCCTGTTCTCGTCTTTAAGCCCTGCAGGGATGTAGCTGCTCCATCTGCTAGCAGGTCTCTGAATTTAAAAATTGGTGTATTGGGAAATTTTTGCCCCAGTTATAGTTCTGGGCAACAGAAAAATACCCCTCACTCCAAGACCAGAAGAACTAGATGGTGCCCAGCTACTGATGTCAACCACTCAGGAAGGGATCAAAACTGGAAATACTGGGCAGAGTGGGAGGAAAAATGTGGAACAAAATTCAAAACCACAAAAATGACCAGAATTACTGGTCAGATAGAGTCTGGTAGAACCCCTAAGACTATGGCCTCTGGTTACCCTTCAGCCTAGAATTGGACTCACTCCTATGGGGAAAAAGAAAAGGAAAATAACCTTCACTATCTTAGTCCAGGAGTAAAATAATAAAGCTGGAAATGACCACATTGGGCTTTGGTGCATGTCTTCGTTTCAGAGAGGAACACACAGACTCCAAGGACCAGCACCCTGTTAAGTGGTAGAGCTGGCATTAGAACCCAGGCTCAACTTCCTTTAAAGGAACTTCTTTCCAACACTTTATGGTTCTTCTAAAGTAGTCGCTATGGTTGTTATGTATTCCTAGTAGGGAAGAAGAGTGGTGATCTTTTCTTAAGGCGTTTTGTGGAATATTCTAAATATGCCACACTTTCCTGAAGGTTGCCCTTTTTATCTCTTATTTTATTAAAAGAGAAAGATGTCCTAGTGGCACAAATTGTTAAGCACTTGGCTAATCAAAATGCTAGTGGTTTGAACCCACTCACTGGCTCCATGGTAGAAAGACCTGGTGATCAGCTCCTATAAAGATTACAGCCAGTAATACCTTTTGGGATCAAACCTGTTGGCACCTAACAACTAACAACAAATAGAAGAGATGATGCCAATATGATTTTAGCCTGTCAGCCATGATTACTGTCTCATCACAATGCATGGTGCTGTTTTCTTCTTTACTATGTCCTTGGATACCTTTGCAAAATAATTCAACCCTTGTCATGATTTAGGGAATGAGTCAAAAGAAAAGAAAGCTGCTTTTCTTCATTCTTCCCATCACAGATTGTGCTTATGCCCTCTCTTTGGCAGATTCGACACAGAGGAGGAGGCTGTAGCAATCGCTAATGCAGCTGATGTTGGGTTAGCAGGTATGTGTTTTCCTCATTCAGGAGTCTTGATACCATTTCTCAAATGAATGCTGGAGTTAGCTTTCTAAATATTCCCCTGGGGTGTTTTTTTCAACTTTATTGTTTGGGGAGTAGTTGGGGAAGTAAAACACACAAGAAGTCCCTGGGTGGTATTGATACACATTTTTCCAATGACATTGACCATCTTTTCATGTGCTTGTTGGCTATTTGTGTTGATGTAATGTCTTTAATGGATATTCTTCATGCCGTGTTTATCTCTTTATCTCTATGACAGGTTACTTTTACTCTCAAGACCCGGCCCAAATCTGGCGAGTGGCAGAGCAGCTAGAAGTTGGCATGGTTGGTGTTAACGAAGGATTGATTTCCACCGTGGAGTGTCCTTTTGGGGGGGTAAAGCAATCTGGCCTTGGACGAGAAGGGTCAAAGTATGGCATTGATGAGTATCTGGAACTCAAGTACGTGTGTTATGGAGGCCTATAGGATCCTTCAGTTCTCTAAAGTATAAAAATGAGAAAGGAAACTTACCTATGTAAGTGGGGACATTACTTTAAATTAACTTACATGGCCTTCCTAGGTTATCTGAATGTGTGGATTTTTAAAACTCATCCAGTCCTTGTAATCTTAAACAGATGCTCATTCTGCTCCTCCCATCACCCAACTAGGGACCAATATGTGTCACATGGTGGTGGCTGCAGACTCCAGGAGAACTAGCATTGGGTATAGAGTAAAGTCCTGAGACCTCCCACAACTATCTGCTCCAGAGCAGGGCTCAGCATGAGGCAGGCAGCCCCTTCCACCCCATTACAAAGGTTTGGTTACTGAGGTGCAATGACACAGCCATCTCTCACATGGTTTTGAAGCATGGGCCTAGAGGGCACATAGGAAAGCCTGAGTATGACAGATGGACTGGTCAGGGGCAGAGCATCCCCATCCCTGGCACTCAGCCAGCTTAGCACTAAAGACTCCTTGTGTTTCCAGGTTAGTTATGTGGAGATTGAATTTTTTTTTTTTTCTGGATGAATTTTATGATTATTGTTATTATTATTATGGTAAAGTATATAACAAAACATTTGCCATTCCAACATTTATTGACATGTTCAATTCAGTGACATTAATTATATTCACCATGTTATGCAGCCGCCACCACCATCTGTATCCAAATATTTCCATCACCCAAACTAAGTGGTTTTAAAAGACTTCTGAAATCGCACAAAATGGTCTATGCTTCCCTGAAGAATGGAGGAACATCTCTTCTTCCTTCTGGACTACTTTCTAAATTGATGCTTTATCATTCTAAATGTACTGCTTCAAGATTTTCATTGCTGTTGTATTTTCTGTTTCACATTGATTCATTGAGAAAATGAGCTGAAGTGTAAGGAGGAAAGAACAGCAGAGGCAGCTTGTTAGGATGGAAGGCCCTTGGCTGCTAGGCAGAGCTCCCTACCATGTAGCTTTGTTACTTTGGGCATAACCTGTCAATATGCCTCCATGCCATACTATGAGCCCAATAGAAAGTGCTTCATTAAAAACATGAAAAGGCAGGGTAAGTTATTATAAGTGGCACCACCATAGCCCCTTGTGCATCCAGCAGAGGCGTGGCCCACATGAGCCCACCTGCCCACCTACCTGAGTCTGAGTAAGCAGTTGTCACGTGTGGCATGCAATTTTCTGTCCTCATGCAGTGCTGCTTCTTCACCTCCAAACAAGCGAAGGCACCAAGAGAGAGAATTTCCCTAATTCCCAATTCCTCTGAAGCTTGAATTTCAAGCACCTTTTACCTAAAAAGTGTTTCTACAGTCATCACAAAAAGCCCCCATGGTCCATGTTGCCTCTCACCTGAAAGAGAAACTCTGAATAAAAAAACTGTGGACTTTCTGGGCATGGTGCCTACTGGCCCATCTGTCCTGACTCACTGAGGATCAGGAATGAAGGCTGTTTCTGGCTGACTTGGCAAAGACGAAACTCCTTCCCTTCCCCTCTCTCTGCACGCAGGACCCACTGATATTCAGTAGGCATTCTGGGTAATACAAGGGAAACATGAATGAAAGTAATGCTAGATGGAGTTACTCCTGAATTCCACCCAGTACTTAGCCTCCCTCATTGACCCTTTGAGGGAACTGTGGTTGAATAGTTGAAGGGTCTGGAAGGTCCTTGTGTACCTAAGAATGGCTGCTAATCCTGGAGTTGCTTCCCATTTGACCTGCGTTACACTAGCTATATCCCAAGGCCCGAAAAAGAAAAAGTAAGCTGAAATTAGCTTCTTAATAACACTGCCCAAAGGTCCCAGGATGGCGCAAATGGTTTGCATTTCACTACTAACTATAAGGTTGGTGGTTCAAACCCACTCAGCACTAAGGAAGGAAGACCTGGCAATATGTTTCTATGGAGATTACAGCCAAGAAAACTCTATGGAGCAGTTCTGTTCTGTAACATATGGGATTGCAATGAGTCAGAATTGACTCAATGGCAATGGGAAACACTGCCCAAGCCCAGTCAAGAATCACTCAGCACAATGATGGTTAATTTCTACTCTATTTTTTTTTTAATAGTTTTTAGGTTTTATGTAACATTCTAATTACAGTTACTTGTTAAGACTTGGATGTGTTCATATTTTTCCATTAAGTACAGAAAGGCTCGAACATTGTTTATTAGAAGTTTGGAAAACTGATGATGAAGTGTTTGGAAAAATACTTTCAAATGAACTTTTACCTTTGTAAGCCAGTGAATTCCTTGAGTGGGTGGAAAAATTATGGGTTTTCTTGTGCATTTGGCTCACTGGGTGCTTAAATTGAGGGCCAGACATTGCAGAATCCTGAGTTAATGTTGTAATTAAAATGAACATTTTTGCTGTTTTTCAGTAATATAATTATATGTGATGGAGGAGATCTTTTTCAAACATGTTTTATATCATGAATAGGATGGGACCCTCAGTCCAAGGACTGGCCAAGTGGCCCTCAGTCCAAATCTGGCCTGTCACCTGTTTTGGTACAATCACAAGCTAAGAATGGATTTTATATTTTCAAATAGTTGGAGGAAAAAATCTAAAGAATAATAATAACATGAAAATTAGATGAAATTCAGATTTCAGTATCTATAAATAAAGTTTTATTGGAACACAGCCATGCCCATTTATGTACAGTATATTGCTATGGCTGTTTTATGGCAGACACGACTCCATTTACTTCTCTAGCTATGCAGGGATTCTCTCATTTGAAGAACCGTTCTGAGATCTTTCATCAGTTTGGGTGGCTTTTAAGTATGATTTTGTGTGAAGCGCTTTTCCTTTCTTCCTGTCTACCTTTATTCTTATGGAATGGCTCAGCTGAAAATAAAGACCAGAGCACAATGTAAACAAATCTATGTTACTGTTCATGGATATTATAACTTTAAATTGTGCCACTTGGCAGCTTTCTTAGAAAGCTGGATACCAGTGTTTCAATGACTCATGTGCAGCTATTTTCAGATAATATTTTAGTTGGATAATACTGATGCTGTGATTTTTTTTTCATGCTACACTTTGTGGGATAAAATTGAGGAATAAGTATAATGGGAAATGGGTAAACAGTTTGGAAATGGGTAAACAGTTTGTTTTATAAATGTGTATGTAACTCATTTTTCCAGTTTTTAGTAATTGTGTGTCTGCATCAGTGTCTTGTCAGCAGAGTGGTGTGTATATGCAATAAATGTTGAATTAACTTGACAGAATGTCCTATTTTCTGCATTACAGTTTCTGGTTATGACTTTTTTTCTTATCAGTTCATCATTTAGATTTCACTGGATATTGTTAGAACAGTTCAGATGTGTGTAAATTGTACTCCTTCCCCAGGCAGCGCCTTGAGGGTGTGCTTGTGAAATTTTGTGTCCCGGCACCTAGAGGGAGGGCTGCCCATGGTTGGAGCTTATGTTAATTTCCTAGAGCTGCTGTAATAATGGGCCATGTGTTAGGTGGCTTAAAACAACAAGAATTTATTGTCTCAGTTCTGGAGGCCAGAAGTCCCAATTCAGGATGCCAACAGGGCCATGCTCTCTCTGAAGCAGTAAGGAAAGATCTTTCCTGTCTCTTCTAGCTTGGTAGTTCCTGGCAAACCTCAGCATTCCTTGAATTGTAGCTGTATCACTCCAGTCTCTGCCTCCACCTTCACATGGCCGTCTTCCTCCTCTGTGTCCCTTTTCTTCTTTTTATAAAGACATTACTCATATTGGATTAGGGCCCACTTTATCCCTGTATTGGGAGCTCTAGTGGTGTACTGCCTAAAGCACTTGACTGGTAACTAGAAGGCTGGTGGTTCAAACTCACCAGCCACTCCTCAGAAGGAATGCTGGGCAACCTACTTCTGTAGTGATACCCTATGTGTAATAGAACAAAACACTGCCCAATCCTGTGCCAGTCTCACAATCCTTGCTATACCTGAGCACATTGTTGTAGCCACTGTGTCAATCCATCTCATTGAGGGCCTTCTTTTTCACTGACCCTCCACTTTACCAAGGATGACATTCTTGTCCAGGAAATGGTCTCTTCTGACAACATGACCAAAGTAGGTGAGACGAAGTCTGGCCATTCTCATTTCCAAGAAAGACCAGTTGATATGACTATTATTCAAATATACGCACAAACCATTAATGCCTAAAATGAACAAAATAAATTTTTTACAAACTTCTGCAGATAAATTGATTAGACATGCAATCAAGATGCACTGATAATTATTAGTGATTGAATGCAAAAGTTGGAAATAAAGAAGGATCAGTAGTTGGAAAATATGTCCTTAATGACAGAAATGACTCCAGAGAACACATAATAGAATTTTGCAAGATCAACAACCTACTCATTGTAATATGAGTCCATTTCATCTCACTAATATCTAGGATATTGGTTTTCAGGAGTTCCACTTCATTTTTTACCATTTCCAATTTTGTGAGAGTCATGCTTTGTACATTCCACATTCTAATTACTCATAGATTTTTGCAGCTGTTTCTTTTCATTTTGAGTCAGGCCACATCAACATGACTCTATCCACATCATTAAGGTTGACTCTACTTTGAGGAAGCAGCTCTTCTCAAGTCAAATTTTGAGTGCTTTCCAACCTGAGAGGTTCATCTGCTGACACTATTTCAGACAATGTTCTGCTGCTGTTCATAAGAGTTTTATATATTTATCAATATCTCATGAAACTCACCATGGAGACTAAAAATAGAGGAAGCATTTCTATATGCTAAACTCAGCTTGAAAAGGGCACCATGAGTTGGAATCAACTCAATGGCAATGGGTTCGATTTTTGAGTTCATGGACTATTTGTGAAGCAGCGGTGGTTTCACGGTAGAATTCTTGCCTTCCAAAAGGAGAAATGAATTTGATTTCTGGCCAGTGCACCTCATGTGCAGCCTCCATCCATCACCTGTCAGTGGAGCCTTATGCAGCTGTCACCCATGTGTCACTGGAGGTTAGCATGTTACTATGATGCTGAATAGGTTTCTGCGGAGCT